CAATGAACTCTTTCATCTGATTGGCTTATTCCGTTAGATCCTAAAATAAAGACAATCAAATGAAAGAGCTCACTAAACGCGATGTCGCTCTAAGGTGAAAATTATAAAAGTGAATTTACTAGAATACTGATTATTTCATTGGTCAACACCTAGTAAATTTGCTCACTTTTGTAATTTTCATCTTCTTTGAAAATACAGAATCGACTCTCTGAACGCATCCAAAGGGCGAATTCAGCGGACTCAACTGTTCTATAATAGGGTGCTAAGTCGTAAGCCAGAAAAAAACTAGCCAATCATAGTTACATGTGACAAAAAAAACAATCGATTATGATTGGTTAATTTCTTACTTCAGGTTTGCAATCCTATTTTAGATATGATCTTGAGGCATGCGTAGTATTCCGATATTCACGATGCTGAGAAATCGGTCCAAGATTTCGGACAGAGAAAAAAATTAACAAATCACATTTGAACAATTTAATCACATGACCATTGCGATTGGTCAATTCTTTCTTCGATTCTTTCCGAGATCTCCGATTTCTAACATCGTGGACACAAGGCTTTAGAAAGAAATCTCTGGTAGTATTATTATGGCGCTAGAAATGTATGTTCTATGTACATTTCTGTACAGTCGGCAACTAATGTGATATTAAATATTTTTATGGATGGCGCCACTGATCGCCGATGATTTTAGATCGCTATTTTACTTGTACGTACTATTTTTTTGTCGTACGAGACTTATGCCCGTATTCATAGTCAGGCCTTATATTTAAGACTTCCTAAAGCCGGTATTTATAATCAGATCTTATATTTAAGACCCCGTCTCTTAAGTACAGTCTTAAGAAGTCACGAACCAATCAGAGGACCGCATTAGTGTCTTAAGATATTACTTAAGACGATTTAGAAATAAGAATCGATTATAAATGCTAGCCTAAATATAAGGCATCTTCAGATTAGCTTTATAAATTATTTCATTGGCTACTGAGCTTCTGAAGATATTTAAGCCTGACTATGAATACGGGCATTAGAGCTGTATTTCTTCAGAATTTTTTATCAACTTTTTATTGCATTTTTTTATTGGCAATTATTTTTATCATGAGAAAATAAAAATAGATATTAAAAAATGTTGTAAAAGTTCTCAGAATTTTATGAGAAGAAAATTAGCAATTTTTGTCTCTCGCTGATTTTTTGTAAAGTTGATAGTATTTGAGTAAAAAAATTATTAAAAACCAATATTCAGCGATTTTTACAGTAATTAATATTTTATTAACTATTACGAAAATTGCAAAATGGAAGTAGAAAATGTTTTGACTCAGTTTACACTTCCGCTCTATTTACGCAAAAATTCTTATGATCAAAAATTGCGGGACATCCTGTATATATTGATATGTGTGTTGTATTCTAATATTTATAATACATATATTACGATGATATTTTCAAACTTTGTATTAAATCCAATTATTATCAATGTCTTTAGAGTCAATATGTGTCTCTCACGTCCTGTTCTGACATAATTTTTTTATTAATACAATTTCTGACTCGATGTTAACCAAGTTAAATTTGAAATTGGATACTCATACCTTCTGAGTTTTGTATTTTATTCATTATAAATGCTGATTATTATGACACATTGTAATTAATTATTTGACTAATATCATGTTCGATATATGCGAATCTACATAGATTTTTATGTAACTTTATGTGATCTTTCACGGCCAATCGTAACGATACGATGACCAGTATATATTAACAGTAATTCATCAGATCCATCATTAATTATTTCTTACAAAACTATTGGAAGATCTGAAAAGGGCTCAAAACAGAAATTAAAACATGTAATCAATTTTTTGCGTTATCGTTATCGTATCAAATGTAATTTCGTATTATATAATACATAACAAGTTTTTCATTCGCGCAAGAATTACCGCGCTTGACTCCTGTATGCCAGTTTAACTATATTATTTTCAATGTCTTTTAATAATTTATATTAAATTTGTATATGATCAATGTGTATACATATAGACATGGTATGTATGAATGAGTCACGACAAGTTGTTAGGAAGATAATGTCTCTCTCTATCAACTTCTTCCCGGGATGCGTTGTGTCCCCTGACCTCCTCTTACCGCTTCTCAGATTGGATCTTATTCTTCCTTATCGTATCATAGCGGATACACCACGGAGTACTATACAAGTTCATTACGAGAAGAGGGAATGATTACGCAATAATGAGCAGCTAGGGATATCGGACGTTATGGCAAATAAATCATATTAATTATTTATTATTTTTTATTATTTTTGAAAAAGTTGAACAGACCGGCTTATATGTTTATTTTCAGTAATATAGATTAACTTTCATCTTTAGTAGTTTAACTTACTTTTTATCTTTTTCTAGTTCTAAGAATTAGACAAAGATAAAGCTAAGTTAAACCGAGACCCATATTAGTCTCTCCTTGACTTTCGACGAGGAGTATCTCGTTTAGTGAACGCTTTTATCAGACATTATGTTCGGTATTATGATGTTGCTTATATCTTTGATATAAGCAGTGATACACAAGGTGAGTGCTAGCCAATTATCAGATTCACTTGCGATACTATGATTCAATTGTTCAATCAAAAATGGCGCGCGAATTTGCGTTGAATTGATTTACGGTGACCGGCCTTCAACTCTGCTTAATATTTATTCGATATTATGAGTTGTGTCAATCACCTTTGAAGAATTAGAAAATGAGATACGATGAGATAGAAGAAGTACATATATAAAACAATTACGTATACAAATAAATATTATTTTTGCGGACAGAGTGTTATTGTTAAAGTATCTAAAAATTAAGCTAGATACGGATTTAAAAATAATTTTGTTAGACAAAAACAAGTATCTAAGACCCTCAAACTGATTATTAGAGTGTTAAAACTTTTTACATCTTATTCCCAAGTAGCATCTCGACATCAAAAGATAACATATAGGGACGTCTATTTATACATGGTAATTTTTAGTTGACGTGGTGAATAATGAACGATGATTACAGTAAGATGTCATTTCTTAGACGAGCTAAAGACATCTTTTTAAGATGTCTTGAAGTTGCCTAATATTGGTCTGATATTCTAGATTACCGTTAGCTGATGTCGCTTCTCACATTTAATTGGGATTTCAGTAATTAAAATCTAAATGACGTTTCTAGTGACGTTTTAGGAATATATCTACAACATTTTGTAAAAAAAAAAAAAATATTTCAATCTTGTAGAATAATATTCTTGCAACATTATAGAAATAAAAAATCAAAATAATTACTTGAAGTGTTAAAAGCGTGGATTGTAGTCTTAGAACATATTATATTAATACTACTCTGCAAATTAGACGTTAGAAATAAATAATTCTATGGATGTAACATATCGATGTCATTTTCGGATCTCTCAGAATCTGATTTAAGACGTCTATAATTAATCATGTGGTGATCAAAATTTGCCGCCGTTCTAATATAATTTGCTAATAAATGCTAAATAAACTAGAATATGCTTGAAAGCGTTAGGACTCAATGAAAGGAATAAGAAATAAGATAGGGTAATACGATTTGTAAACGAACACGATCCAATTGTCGAGGTTTAAGTTTAGTAACTCTGATTTTATTGTGTGGAGGATACTTGAAGGATATCAAGCAGGGAAAAATCCAATTTCAACTTTGAAAATTCGATTCAAATTTTATTTCGCTCAGAATCATATTATATTTGAAATTATACCACCTTGACACTTATATTGTTGTCAATTCCATTATTTATTTCTTATACATTTTTTTTTCTCGATATATCTTCGCGTATTAATAATTTTCAGCAGCCATTTTGAGTCTGTAATTTCTACAAATATAAAGCCTTTACTCCAAATTGTGTCGAAAAGTATGTCTCTCGCTAAATGTGGGAAGAAGTATAACACCGCGTGCTTTACGAGGGTATTAGGTAGGTCAGTCAGAGAGCCGTAGTTCATTTCCGAAAGCCAATCTTCAGCTATTTTCGTGAGTTCCCTGTATTTATGTAGGTCATGGGCATTCGCGGAGAAAAAGAGCCCGTTCTTCCTTCCCAGAGCTGAACGGGGGACGTCGACGACTCGAAATTCGTCGATTCAAATATACGACTCCAGACAGAACGAGAGAACGACGTCGAGATGGATGATCGAAAGAGAACGCGACGTCGATGAATAATCGAGAGGGAATACTTTCCCTTTTTTTTTTTTTTTACGTTTTTTGATCGGCTAGAAGACAAAGAGAGGAGAAATAAATTTAATATTCTTTTCTTTTTATCCCACCGAGGTAAAAGCATATCGAGGCATACGGCAGGCAACATCAGGCGTCTGCGCGCCGCGTCGCGCGTGCCGCGCTATGTATAGACGGTGATACGTCTGGGGCATCGGTTCCTTCGTGCGAATTATATGTATGCTCATTGCAGGGCCGGTCATCGGCCAAAGCGCACGTTGCTGCTCTCACGGCGGGTGCGAAAAAAAACGTCACTTGATAAACGTCCAAACGGCGGAGCCGGTCACGGGAGTGCGCGCGTCCGAGGATGAAGGAATAAATAATAAAATTCGAGAAGAGAATTCGCGTCTCTGTCTCGTCGGTGGGGGT